CTAAGCACTTACACTGATACCTTATAGACATTTCAGTATTCAAACTTAGACCTTACTCCATTATTATATTTCTATGATTTTTAATTTTCTTCTATATTTTATCTCTATTTTCATTGTTGACACTATTACAGACGTCCCCATTTCCCCACCCAGCCCTCACCCCCTGCCCTCTGGCCATCACCACACTGTTGTCTGCATCTGTGAGTCATGCATATGTGTTCTTTGGCTACTCCCTTCACCTTCTTTCATCCAGTTTCCCCCTCCCCCTGAGAGCTGTCAGTCTGTTCCATGTGTCCTTGCCTATGTTTCATGTGTGTGTGTGTGTGTTAGATTCCACATCTAAATGAGATCATATGGTATTTGTCTTTCTCTGAATGGTTTATTTCACTTAGCATGATAATCTCCAGGTTCATCCATGCTGTTGCAAAAGTTAAAATTTCCTTTTTTCTTTCATGACTGTGTAATAGTCCCTTGTGTAAATGTACCACAGCTTTTGTATCCACTCATCTGCTAATGGGCAATTGGGTTGTTTCCAGATCTTAGCGATTGTAAATAATGCTGCTCTGAAAATAGGGGTGTATATAGTCTTTTGAATTGGTGTTTCAGGTTTCTTAGGATATTCCCAGAAGTGGGGTCACTGAGTCAAAAGGCAGTTCCATTTTTAATTTTTTGAGGAAACTCCATACTGTTTTCCACAGTGGCGGCACCAGTCTGCATTCCCACCGGCAGTGCACAAAGGCTTCCTTTTCTCCAAATTCCCACCAGCACTTGTTTTTTGTGGATTTATTGATGATAGATTCTAGGAGGTATAAGGTGATATCTTATTCTGGTTTTAATTTACATCTCTTTGATGATTAGTGGTGTTGAGCACTTTTTTATATGTCTATTGCCCATCTCTATGTCCTCTTTGGAGAAGTGTCTAGTCAGGTCCTTTGCCTATTTTTAGCAAAAAAGTTTTATACCCAAATATTCGGTCATTTCTAATAAACGGTACATCCACATATCATTATTTCATCTTTAGTCTGCAAATAAAATTCACTCATACCATACATTTCCTAACATTGTGAAATTATGTTTTGGCACAGTCAATAAATAATATCACTCAATAAGATAAATCTTGAATGCTTCATTTTAATTAAGCATCACATGAAAATACACTAGTAGAAAGCAGACATTAAATATATTTCCTCAAATAATTCTTAAACATCCAAGTTCAACACCAAAAATTTGGTTTATCCAAGTTAACATTATACAATTACTTGTAAAATATATGCTTCAAAATAATCAAATTACATAAAAATTTAAAGTAAAAGAATCCACAGGTTTCCAGTTAAGCATTTACATAGCATTATTTTGTCAGCCAATGTACTTAGGAGGCAGAGAAATTGATAATATTTTTGCTTTGAGTAAAATGGAAGCTTATGGGTTTAAATATGTTTTAATATATCATTATAGAAATCAGCCAAGATTAAATCAGGAAAATGTTTCCTGTACTAGTTTACTCTTAGAAATTTTGATTAACATGCATTTTTTCCCATTTTGTGAAATTCTTTTTCTCTATTGTATCTTAGCCCATGACTCAGGACCTAGGAAACTTTAGTATTTTCCCACACATTAAGTGGTAGGGTTGGTGCCCAGACAGGTCTGATCTGGTGGATGGTTATGGAGAAGGCAATGGAAAAAATTAGGGAACATCCAAGAGGATAAAAATCAACCAATGAGCACAGTTACAAAAACAAATGTAAAAGTTTTATCAGATAATCAGAATTGTAGAATGGCTGGCAGGGCACAGTTAGGAAACCTGATATTTGAGTTCTAATTCCAGGTTTCTTAGAGCTGTTGTATGAGTTCAGGCAAGTCCACGCTGTTGGGAATTAGTTTCGTTAATTTAGAAAAAGAGTTTGGCCAGGTTTATTTAATTATTAAAATACATTTTGGATGATGAGTTATATCATTCTAAGGTTCATATAATTGTAGACACCTAACTATTATCAGGTACTGCTTTGGCCACAGTGAAGAAACATCAGCTTCAATGCTATTTAAACCAGTAAGTGCACTAACATTTTCAAAGTGTGATGCATTACAAAGCAATGGAATACTGTTATCTTTGAACGGTTGTTTTCTTTCATTTAAAAATCTTTAACCTCCTGATCTAAAATAATACATTGTTTATTTATGTAACACTATTATTTTCTTGGTTATTATGGAACTTAAAGTCTGCGTAAAGATTTTTAGTACTATATTTAAATTCCTAGAGAAATGTTTTCAAAATATTCATTAAATTTCTACTTACTTTGGATTGACCACATTCCTCAAATGATAATACAATTTGTAAAACTAGAAGTTACCTAAGACCTTAATTTGAACTAAAATTCCCCTATAAATTAATAAACACTTAATAAGAAAATATCTACATCAGTGATTTTCAACCTTTTTCATCTCATGGCACAGATAAACTAATTACTAAAATTCTGTGGCACACCAAAAAATATATATTTTTTGCCCACCTAACAAAAAAAATCAGTATAATTTTGATCCATTTTCACTGGATGGCTATTGTTGTGTTGGTTGTCATCATTTTTTTATTTGACAATCTAAAGGAAAAGAAGTCAGTTCCCTTGACTAAATAATCAGGTATTAATATGTTTTAAAATTCTTGCGGCACACCGGTTGAAAATTGCTGATGTACATTGATATTTGACATTTTTAAAGGAAATATAGGGCGACTATACCTCTTACACAGGTAAGTATATTAAAGAGATTATTACCAGGCTTGATTCTCCCCTTGGGGTTTCAAATGGTAAAGATAGTACTGTACTTTCACCCAGATCCCAAAGGCAGCTTTACTTCCACTACACGAAAACAGTTTTCATTCAGTTAGATAATTGAATCACCACTGGTTGCGTAAACAGAAAATAATATATATACACATTTGTTTTTGTTTGTTTGTTTTTTTAATCAAAGTGAGACAAAAATCCCCTTATGAAGGAAATGACTTGTTTGGTCTTTGCAAACATCTCAATTTTCCTTTTCATTCTACCTCAAGAGCAGTGCTAAGAAATTTGTATTTAGATTTCTTTTTAGGAGGCCTCTAATACAAATCATCTCCATATTCTCTTCTGAATGCTAGGGCCTAGATTGACCGGCAAAGCAGAGATTTCTTCTTGTATGCTGAAAATGTGTAATGTCAAATAACCACTATCAACCACATCTATGTTAACCTACACAAAGTGGGGAAATTGTAGGGCTCAAGGTAGTAAATATTTAAAAACAATGAACATATTGTCATTCTGTTCCAAATGCTTTACATTAATTAATTTCATTCAATTCTGACAACAACTAACAGGTGACAATGGCAACCCACTAAATATGATAATGTAGATGAAAATGATCAGGAAGTTTAAGTAGATATGTAATGCGAAACCTATGACACACATTTATGATCTTACAGTCTAGTAAACATAGCTATACTTTTTTCTGTTTTTCCTTTTACTTCCTTAGAATTTGCAAATATCATTTTAGCTACAAACAGCTAATTCAATCCAATAAGCACTTAACAATCTATTCTTGTAGGCACTGAATTTAGTACTATGCCAGGGGATCCCATGGATGAATAAGAGAGGCCCTAAATCCCATGCTGACAACACAGGTTGCTGGCAATAATGTCAATTTCATGAAGTATTCTCTAGTTCGGGCAGTATAAAAAGGCTTCTAGTTGTATTTATAAAATGTCCTTTATTTATCTATAGCACTGATGTCACCCTACAAAGGGATTCATGACATTTTTCTAATCTTCCACATGCATTGCAGCAAGGTTAGCTCTCAGAGTGTGAGCCTCCTGAGTGACTGTCTCAAAACCTACAGTCCATAACATGCTGGGTTTTCTAACATTCTAATACTAGATACAAGGCATTGACTAACTCCTTAATAGTGTGAATCCTTTTTCCATTTTAGAGCTCTAATGAGGTCTACCATCTCTACTAACAAACAGCTATTTCGTAAGGAAAAGATAATCCCCAGATAATAATACCTGGTTGTAGGATCTGAGAGGTAAAATGTCTGTTTAAGATTGATATAATACAGAGGCCCTGACAGACAATTCTCTGAGGCCACATGAGAGCATGAAATAAGCCTGTGGTTTCTAGGGGGAGGCCAACATAATCAGTTCTACCTAATCCCAGCTCAGTCACGTGCTAAATGTGTGGCAAGTTATTTGATTTCTCTGAGTCTCAGTATTTTTATCTGCAAAATGAGGCTAATAATACCTACGCTGAATAGTTGTTGTAAAGATGAGAAATAATATTGGTAAAGGCCCAGCAGAGAGGATACAACAGGTGCTTAATAAATAGAAACTGCTTATTCTCATCCACCATTGCATTGCACATTGGCTAAAGTAGCACTTCAACTTTGAGAGCATTCACTTGGTCTGTGATAAACTAGCTGACCACTTCAAGTATGAGTCCAATTAACACAAGGATAAGTTAAAAAAAATGTATAGATGTTTTCTACAAATTTCTTCCCATACAGCTGTCTTCCAAATACAAGCTATAAGACTCTGGATTAGTTGAGAGAACAAAAATTGCCTTTATCACCTTTGTGGGGTTAATCTAGAAAATAATAATAGTGATAATGAACTTGAACTCTTGTGGAATTTCCATAACTAATGTGTAAGTATATCACTACCATGGAATGTATATCTTTTTGGTATCACTGAAATAATAAAGTGCCCATGATTGTCATGTAAGCCTAGAACAGATAAAGATCATTCATATTAAAACACAAGGCAGAATTCTTAAATAAAATGCCGCAATGGTTAGCATCCTTCTCCCTCAACTGACCAAAATGTTAGCATGCACAGTGCAAATGCAACGGCTTTTAGCTAGAGATCAATTTTAGAATACTAATAATACATGCCTACTCCCCAGCAACTGTTCATTTAAAAGCCTGAATCTAGATGCACAATCATATATACATTTAATTATTTCTATAATTATTGTACTTAGGTACAGGAAACCTAAACTTAGGTTTCCTTTTTATTATTGGGAATAAACATAACACACACAGCATAGAAAGTGATCGCTGATCCTCTGACTGTAAGAACCACCAGGACATGATAAAGGTTTATGTATTTTCAAGGTAAGAGCAATCTGATGATTTGCCTTCACTTCAGGCAGTTGATCTGCAGTTCAAAATATGCTTTCAGTGCTTTCGCTGACTAAGCTCCGAAGTATCTTTTCCATGATCAGCAGAAGTGACTGGCATTTAATTAAAATAGACTATTCAAACTATAAATAACAGAATAAATAGTTTTGAACCTTGGCTAACATTGTTGAATTAATAACTAAATAATTTAAGAAGCAAAATTATCAAAACACTTTTGAGAACACAGTTCTGCTTGGAGGGTTCCATGGAGGAAGTGCCTCATTTTCAAGAAAGGAATGACGTTTTTTTCCTTTTCGTTCAATTCTTTCCTGCCTTTCTTTCTTTTCCTAAAGAGAAGACAGAAAACTATAAATTTGTATACATGTTAAACAGAACAAAACAATCCATTATAAGACATTTAAATGTCATTTCCTACTTTAATTGGTTATAAATGACTAGCAGCTAGGGAATACTACTACTTTATAGGTAAATTACCAATAGGTATTAATGTACCACCTGATTTTTTAAACATTAAAAGTGATATTTAGAAGAATTATGTAAAACAGGGAAAAGACCTATAATTCCATAATTCCAAGACAATAGTTATTATCAGTTAAAGATTGTTTTCTGAGAACAGGTTCAGAAAGAGTGCAAAGGTTGAACAAGCCATGGCAGCAGGGATACTTGAGACCTTTTACAAATGTTTGGAAATTGGGCCTCATGTTCTTTTGCTTATTACTGAGGTTGAGCACATTTTTATTTCTTTAGCCCTTTTGTGAAATCTTTGCTCAACCATTTGGCTCATCTAACTGTATGGGTATCAGAGCTTTTAATTTGTAGCCAATTACATATTTCCATATATTAAATGTTAGCTTTGCAGCAAACATTTTATCTACATTATTTTTAGTCCTTGATTTTTATATAAAAAAATAAGATCTCTCAGCCATAGACAACAATTTAAAGAGTAATATAAGCAAAACCTGTGTAGCCACTGTGCCTTAGGAAGTACAACATGACCAACACTTTTTCCCACTCCCCCATCACACCTTCCTTCCTCTCCACCCCAGTGAGGTCCCATTATTCCGAACTTGAGGCCTATCATCACATCTCTTAATACTTTTATTACACATGTATTCATCCCTGAACAACACAATTTTGTTTTGAAGGTTTTACAATTTATCATAAAGGCTATTGTGCAATATTTTCTATTGCAACTTTTTAAAATCATATTTCTAAGATTCATCTACATGGAGCCGTAGATTTAGTCCCTTGATGTACAGAATTCCAGTATTTCAACATGTCACAATTTATGAATCAATTTTTTTTTGTTGAATTCATGTTTTTTTTCCCCCCACATAGACAATGCTGCTATGTTCCTTGGACTTATAAGCCAAGATTTTCTCTCCATTTATATGTACAGGAGTGAAATTGCTCATTTGTAGGGTAAGAATATGTTCAACTCTGCTGGAAAGTTTATTCTCTGAAGTAGTTGTAGGAATTTACCCTCCAACCAGCACCTATGCTCACTTTTTTATTTCAATATATGAATTATTTTAAATTCAATATGTTTTCTTGTTATTATAGTACTTTGAGATTTTAAAAAGCATCTCATTGCTCTGTGATTTAAAAGATACTACATTTTATTTTCTTTTGGTTTTATTGTTTGGTATTTTTTATATTTAAAACCTTAATTGTTTTGGATTTTCTATTGCTATAATTCTGCCAAGTGATTTCTGTCCAAATGTCACACAAATAATCCCAAATGTTATTTCCTTGTATCCATTAATTGGTGTTACTTTATTATACTTATAGGAGCATATCCTTACTCAGAATAGGTTCTGAGGTGTCTTGTGGTACTCTACTGCTTCGACTTGTTTTTATTCACTTGTATTTATTAAACAGTATTTATTCACTGAACTGTTAAGCACTGAGATCCTACTCGGGGTCCTTCCATATGCTGGGTACCACGCATAAAGTGAGTGTAAAATCCAAACACATAGATAGGATCCCCCTCCCTCAGGCAACTTGCAAAACAGAAAATTAATACACAAATAACAGGCCATCCAAATTATGTGAATTTTTATAAAATATATAAACAAACTGTTGTGCTTGCAAAAGAAGAAAAGGGCATACTTTCAACAACAAGATGATTCAGGAAAAGTCATTTCAAAGTGAGACACGATGGGTACGAGAAGCCGCTCATGATAAGCATGGAGGAGAGCACTTCACGCAGAGAACAGCAGGTGAGGGGCTCTGTCGGGGAAGAAAGCTGGGTACGGGTGTAAACCAGAGACCTAGTGTGAATAAAAATGGGTAGAAAATGGGAGAGGGCTACCCGATGAGACTAAAAGGAAGATGAAGATTATGAGGCCTTGAAGACCATGGTAACAGGTAAGACAGAGAGAGAGAGAGAGAGAGAGAGAGAGAGAGAGAGAGGTCAACAAGTGGCACTGGGAAGAAAGGCAGAGAAGTGAGGGAAAACGAGGGGACAAGCCAGCCTGGGAGGAGACAGTGGCAGGAAGGGAACATCAGCTGTGCAGACCGCTGAGGGGTCTAGGAAAGGAGGCATGAAAGAATGCAGTCGACTGGCTGGGTGGTCTGGCAGAACTGCCACTTTCCAAGCGCAGCTTCGGTACAGTACTGAGAAAGGGACCAGGGGAGTACTGGTGTGTTGAGGTGGAAAGGATATGGAGAACTACGGAGGTGTGAACAAAACGTTTTAGAAATTTAACTATAAAAAGAGCAGTGAAATGTGGAACCACATTGGAGAGAAGTGAAGGATTATGAGAGTTTCAACACTGAATATCCTGTAATGTGATGGGAATGATCTAGGAGACAGATATGTTCGTTCAAAGGAGAGTGGAGTAGTTTATATTTTATCGCTTGAGAAGAACAGTCCTGCCTTATATTACTTCAGAAATATTGTCTTCCATGTTCTCACTTTTTTATTTTATCAGAAGAATTTTAGAACCATTGTTTCCCTACTCATAATCCTTTCAGAGAAATGACTATTTGAACATGAAAATGAAATCTAAACATTCATCTAGGGATACCTGGAAGATTAATAGCATTTGGTCAGTTTATCCTACAGCTCAGAGAGAGAATTTTTCCAAGTCTCTAATAAAGCTGTAGGAAGTATGATGGTTTCTCATATTGGTAATTTCTTCAAAGAATAGCAGTATCAGGGCATTTTGGACAGCCCTGCTGCTGCAGACTGGATGGCTCAGGAAGGGTGGCAGTTTGGTAAATTATTAGGCATTTATGATTCTTTTATCTATATATATATGGAATGTATAAATGTCACAAGGTGAGTATGATAATGCAAGGTTTCTATTACCATACAATTGTTCACATAAAACAGGAGTAAAGAGAGGTGAGGAAACTGGGAATCATATAATTAAGGCAGTATCACAAATCAGTAAAAGGTGGAGTTCTTTTTAAAAATAAAAGATGCATTTAGGAAAAACAAAGTTGGCATCATATTTCCCACCATAAATCAAGATAATTTCCAAGTAGATAAAATGTTAAAATGTTGAGATATTATAATTATAGTTATTATAATTAAAATAGGAAACCTTTGTTTAATCTCAAGTTATAGACAAGGTCTTTTCAACTATGCCTGAAAATTAAAACCCAAAAGAAAAGACTGATACATTTGACATCAGAAAATAAAATAAAATTCTTCATGGCTTAAAATACTATATGTAAAGTTGAAAGACCAACAAAACAATGGTAAAAATATAAGTCATATAAAAATGGTACACTAGTTCTCCTAGTGCATAAAAAAGTTTCTTGAAATCAATAAGAAAAAAATAGAAAAAGGTGGAAAGCCTATGACTTTACAGTTTGTAGAAAAATATAGAAATGATCTTTATAAAAACAAAAATGCTCAAGCTCAATCCTACCAGAGAAATAAAGCTACAAAATACCCTGGGTGATATCTCTAAACTAGCTGGTTAACATGACTTCAAAAAAGTTTGGCAAGAAACCCCAATGGAAAGAAACCCTATTGAATCCTAACCCCTGTGGAGAAATTTTTGCACTTTTTGAAACAAGTGATGCATTAACTACCCATACGAATGTGTCAGCTACTCATGTAAATACCTATTCATATGAATGTATTACTTATTCAAAGATTAATAAAAATGCCTATTTATATTGATATTTTAAGATAGAAAACATTATTTGTTTAACATCAGTGAAAAGTAACTATAAACATAAGTACCTTGAAACAAACAAAAATATTAAATATATATGTATATGTATATATAAAGTCCATTTAGATATTTCCCTCCAAAATGTTTGCTTTCTTTTATTAAAAAACACCTAAATAAGACCTTCTCTTTGAGGTCATCAGAAAGATCAAAAGAAAATTAAAAAAATGGAATAATGTTCTTCCATTAAGTTCAGTGTTCGTGTGCATCACAACCAGGTTCCACCTAAAATATCTGGCAAACCTTTAGTGGTATATTTGTCAGCTCTCGATAATTTTAGACATAAGAGTCACTGCAAAGGAAGAAAGGGCATGACTGGTTAAGTGACTAACTGTGGGGATGTGGGTAAAGAAGAATGTTATGACTGAAGTTTTAAGCCTGAGGGCTTTAGGGAATAGTGGAAGCATTAACAGAAATGAGTTAATCAAAGAAATATGATATATGTAGGAGGAAAGAATGAATTCAACAGGTCAGCTTCCAGATAGAAATGGTCAGTAGGCAGGAACAAAAAGAACTAAAATTAGGAATAGAAAAGTCATACAAAAAAAGTACATTTAAAAGATACACATGCATTGACAAAAAAAACCTACCAGCCATTTTTCATATTCATCAATAGCTTGTTTATCTTTATCTTTTTTCTCAGATTTTTTCCGTTCTTCTTTTCTTTTCTCACTTATCTTCTCTTTTCTCTTTTCTTTGAAAAAAGCTTCCTTTCTTTCACTCCTATGTAGGATAGTATAAAATACTGGAGAGTTAAAGGAAAACATATAATAAAGATTTCCTAATATATCTTTGCAATAATGAGATTGAGATGCATTAGTAAATTTCAAGTGGATACATTTTAGAAATCCTGGGGTGTTATCAATTTAAAATCTATCAAAATACTTATTATTTTGGATTACCATTTTTCCACAGCAGTTAGGTTGTCTTTCCTTTTCTCAGCAACACTTTCCTCCTCCTTCTGCTTCTTTGCTCGTTCATATTCCTTCTCCTTTTTATTTTTCTCTTTAAGATATTCCATCTTTTTTTCCTTCCATCTTTCAAAAGCCTGAAAAAGTTCAGAATGATTTTCTGATTTATTGTGAATAGTGTAAAATCAGTAAAAGACTCAATCACTAATTTATAGTTCATATATTTAAAAATAATTAAGAAAGCTATTCAAAGTTGTCGAATACTTGTTGTGCTTCTTCTTTCCTTGCGGCATTTTCTTCTTCAGTTTTCTTCTTGTTTTTCTCCTCAAGCCTTTTTTTTGCAGCTATCTTCTTAGCTTCCTTTTCCTTCATAGCCTTCCAGGCCTCAAATGATGCTAAGGCTTCTTCTCTCTTAGCAGCTCTTTTCTATTTTGGAGAAATAGTACACAGATATATATGTATGTAAAAATAGACAAATATAGATAAAACATGTATACATTTATCTTCAATTCCCTTGATGTACGTCATATGTAGAAATTATGTTTGAAAGCAGATAATTTATTTAGAATAGTTTATAAAAATTTATATATTAAAAATGTATTCTAAGTTGTTCATTGCCTTTGAAAATGTCCTTTATGAAAATGTATCTTATTCGCTATTGATCCTCTACTATTCATAGGAAAGAAGTCGAATGTTTTCTGGAAGTGTACTACACAAATGTTATCAAAATAAACTGTAGCAGGCTCAGTGGTACTGGAAAATGTTCATAGTAAAATATTTAAGTAAAAGAAGAACATCAGCAAAATACTAGGCTTATGAAGTGTGAGTAAGGGAATACATAAACATATTCCAAATGCTGAACATGTGCAGTAGAACAGAAAATACGTAGTCCAGTGTATAGCAAGTTTGGTGTTACTTTACTCACTTCAGTTGAATCCCATCATATCCTGTGCTTGCCTTAATATTGGTTACACTAAATGATATAAAGCCTTATTACAGAGATAACATAATTCAGAAGTAGAAGGACTACCTACCTCGCTGAGTTGTAAAGATCAAATGAGATATGCCTGGCACTGACCACAGCAGGAAGATGCTGCAAACATGGCAAAGGGTGTGTGGGCCAGCCCCCTGCAGAGCTGCTCCGCAGAGTACTGTGCCTTTGGGAACTATGTTTCTTTCCAAAGTCATTTTAGTACTAGACAGCATCATGAAGTGTTTCCCTCCCCCCAGGGCTTTTATTTCATATGAGGGTGTATAACCTTTTGGTGTCTTCAGGCCACACTGGAAGAAGAAGAGTTGTCTTGGGCCACACATTAAATATACCAATATTAATGAAAACTGATGAGCAAAGAGAAAAGGTTTTAATAAATTTATAATTTTGTGTTGGGCCACATTCATAGCCATCTTGGGCACATGCAGCCCATAGTGGCTTGGATGCCCCCCGGTAGAAGATGAGAAACACCTGAGCATGTTGTAGGCTATTAAACGGAAGTTAGAGGAAGAGGTTGAAGCACTGGAAAGAAAGAAGAGCTCAGTTCTAGTCAATGGGAAAAATATGAGTCAAGAGCTCAGGTATGGGTTGGTCTTAAAGATACATATAAAGTCCAAGGTAAAAAAGAGGAAAACTGAATGTTAATGCTGATGACCCTTTATATTCTTGGCTAGGGTGTATGAATGAAATCAATTTTTAAGAGTGAAGTAGGTAGGTGGCCACAGGCAATAAGTTTATAATCAGTAGTGCCAAAGCTATTCCACACAAATAAAAAATAAAAACCTCTGAGTCTATGTTTTTATGTAAAGCAGTTACAACATATTTATATCTAACTAAAATGTATAAAGTTCCAGAGAATAAAAGTCACAAATCAGTTCTTTTATATACAAGTTATTTTGCCATTCAAAAAAATACTTAATTTTGGAATATTATTAAATATTCAGAGATATTTTACTAACTTAAATATCCAGAATATTTTCACCTCTATTTCAGAATACCTGTTCATTTTGGATCCTTAAGTTTTCACTTTCAATCCTTTTAATTCTGTGCTTTTCATGTATATATGCATTTTTCTTTTCTAACCACTCCTGTAAGAACAAGAATAAAGCTATGATATTGAAAGTTTCTCAAATGAATTAGAATTTTATCTATTTCTGAAATATTTGTTTAAAATTTAAAAAAGTGAAATAAAAAATTTATAAATTCTAAATTTTTTTCTGGTAATATTGCAATATATAATGATGAGCATAAATTAATAAAATTTTTATTTTTTATTAGTATTAACAACAGGCTTCAAAGATTGAATATAATGGCTACATATCTTAACCCTTAACTCTGAAATTCACATATACTATTTTTTAAAGTATATTATTCTGTACAATAGAAAAAACATAAATGTGAAAATACTAGGAAAGTCTTTTCTGTGTAAGTCTCAGGAATACAAATACAAACTCTCAGGAATAAACACAAAACTCTTCTTGTTCATAATAATCTAAACTTTAAGAGAAAAAGTATAAAAAAATACGTTTTTGCTTTTGCTTTCTTTTTATAAATTAGCATATCATATTTCTTTCTTTAAAAACTACAATGATTGGTTAAGCAAAGTTTGGAAGGGAATAATTTAGTAAAAAAAAGAAAAAAAGCTTTGGATGGAAAAAGTTCAGGTATTTATAAAAGAAAAATCTTTCCCAATAAACTAACTATTCAATTGTCATTACTGACAGATGCATTTTACTCCTTGGTAAACTGGTAAGCTCGTGTAAGTAATAAGGCCTTTTAATTTTTTTTCCCTTTTTACCTGATAAACAGCTGCCCTGATGTCATCTGCTTTCTCAGGTTCTATATTCTGTTTCTGGGAGGGCTTTTGGTCCAAGATTTTCAAAGTGCCTAAATACTGAGAAGAGGTAGTTTTTGATGGAGTTCTCCTTATAGAACTAGAGTTCTTTAAAAACTCAGAGGTCATTAATCTGAAAAGATGCAAATAAATCAAGGTAAAATATTACAATTGCACATGCTATAAAAAGATTCGTTAGACTACTATATTTAAAAACTACATTCTAACTTAATAAAGTATAATCACTTTGAATATGATGTAGACTCTTATTATACAACGAGACCCATTCAACATAATTTAAATTTTTTAACTTCCAGTAATATAGCTTCAAAGTGGTTGCCCTTTTAGGTATTGTAATTAGAACATTTTAAAGAAACATGGACTATATCTCAAGTTACATGGAAAAAAACTATTAATAAAGTAGGTTTTAATAGTTTCTTCTGTTGGTTACATAAACCATTCTAAATAATAAAGTTAGAATACTATCTCCTCTATTTCAGGGGTTGGTGGGAAAATATGACCCACCATCTGTTCTGGTGAATAAAGTTTCCTGCATCACAGCTGTATCCATTCATTTCCACATTGTCTGTGGCTGCTTCCCTGCTGTGACAGCAAAACTGTGTAGTTAGAACTGAGACTGGATACAAGGCCTAGCAATGAGCTAACTGGCAACTTACAGATACTGCTTGCTGACCCCTGTTCTAGCTGATTAATGGTCATTTGATTAATGAATTCCAAAGGTTTTGATTAGCATTTATGAGTCAGTATTCATTATCATCATCATCATCATCATCAGTGTTACTGAAGCTACATAGGTTCTTATCGGTTTAATAAAACTTAGTCCATAGAACCTTGAGGCTTTGAGAATAATTTTTCATGTGTAAGTAAAAGACACTTAACAGAGAAGCATAATGCTGCACTGGAGCTTTATTACCACTTTATATCTACTGTCTCAGGAAAAACAGGAGAAAGAAATGATCCCAGAAGCAAAGTAGAGCATGCAGAATCCTAATCAATTCCTTTTATAAAAGAATATAACCAACTGAGAGGTTTTATCATAAACTGCTCCATTTGTCTCATGAGATGGAAATAAGAGAAAATCAAGTAACACCACATGCAATTTACCTTACAGAAGTTCAATTAAAACTAGCTTTGTGGAATGTAACCCATAAGTAAGTGATGATGACAGCTTTATTACCTGCCTGAGGCACTGGATGCTCTATTATTTGTTGACTTTTTATTCTTCGTATTTCTATCTTCAATTGTTTTCTATTAAATAGAGAAAGCCATAGATGGATTAGTCACCATAACTATCACAGACAGGCTTAGAGATCAAGCTGCCAGTGGTGAATCAATGTTTTTTTAAACTTCTACTGGGTGTCAAATACAGACTGGAAAGAAAAAGAGTACATTTTAGAAAGAGTTGACTGACAATAAAAAGATGAGCAAATGTGACTCCGAAAGAGTCCAGTGACAGACTGACTGGAGTGGAGGTGAGGGCCTCCCTGCGGCCCTGACGTCTGAGCTACGGAATATGATGAGAAAGGAGCCACAGGAAGGTCTATGGAAAGGAAGACAGGGTAGGTGCTAAGAGTCTGAGGGAAGAAAAGCTTGGTAATTTGGAGATATTGAAAAAGGTGCATCCTGCTGAAGTACGGTGAACAGCTGGGAGGCTGGAGGAATATGTAGTCAGACAAGAATCCCTTGAAATATTTAGGAAGCAGTAAGTAGTTCACATTTATTCTCCTGATGGGAATCTAACCAAGAGACTTTAGCCAGGAAATGATTTGATTTCAACTTAAAGGCCAATCAGTAGTGAGTAAAAATAAAGCCAAGGACGGATTCAGTCAAAAGAAATATGTTATGATCATACTAGATATAAATAAATTGCCTGTTCTCACTTAGAATTACCAATTCAACATTTCTAAGATCCTGTCTATAAATTCCAGAATACCTTTCCTCCTTTTAAGGAATAACCTTTACTACTCTATACAAACAGATAGGTGCTAATATTAAAGATGTAAACAGATCCTTAATTTGACATTAATTGTTTTTTCCCAAGGAAAGTGGTTAAGGACAATATATCTGAAACAAGTCTTAATGAACCTTCTCTATGCATTTTAATAAAAAAGTTAGTATTCTGTATTGTAATAAATTCCTGTTGAACAAGTTTTCAGCTAGCAGTGTTAACTTCCTCAATAGCAAATACTCATAGCCACAGCTAACTGCAGCTATAAGAGATAAAGACTAATTCCAAGAGAAATGAGGACGAAAAATGCCATACCATATATATTTTTTTTAAAGTATAGTACTCTGGTGCATTACAACGTAGGGACAAGTAGTCCTATACACTAATTTTGATCATTAAGGTAATAATAAAAATGTTTCCGATAATGACCCTGTCCATCCATTTTAACAAGCATGAATGTTTCTTCTTAAAGATTTTCATTAAAATTTGTAAAACACTTAAAAATGATATCCGAAGAAATAACTTTCACTAATTAAAACCTTGGAAATTATTCCAGATGGCTGTGTTTTTAAATGCAGACCTATAGAAACTTATCCACTTATGGTTATGTATTTCTGCGATATTCAAAAGTATAGTATAATCATATACTTCTTATAATTTTTAATGAAATTATATTCACTGTACCCATTCCTGAATTTAAAATTCTATTGAATTAAATAAGAACTACTTGACAATGCCACTATTAAAAGATGAGTTTTCCATAGATAATTCAGAACTACCAAGCATGAAAGACAAAATATTTAAAAGTTGTATTTTGAGTTTTAAGCTGTAGTATAAAGCTATAATTTTATATACATACCTTTGCAGACTCAGTTGCATTGGCAGATGTTAAGGTGCGTTGAGATAGCCGTAGATCGTCTGTTAAGTCATCACTCATAATCAGTTCAGCTTTCTCTGTTTTTCCCTCAAGGTCACCCGTAGTTACTTGCCCTTCCTTGGATTCCTCAAGTGAAGTGGTAACACAGTCTATCAGAAGTGAATTGTCTTCATTTTCGGCTGATTTCAAGGACTGGTTTTCAGTGAATTCTTCATTCTGATCTATTTTGAGACAGAGTAACAGCACTGAAACTCCACTGTAAATTAGTAAGGTGGATTAGAGATTCACTTGCTTTCCACTAGATGTCATTAACCCCTTTTTCTTGCAAGATAAAATATGAAGAAAACTATCATATTCAACTTGAATAAACTTTTTTTCCAAAGTGATCTACAAAAGAAAAAATGGTTACTCAATCTATTAAAAGATCTGACATACCTAATACTTAGAAAAAAATAGCACATTCGAAAATAGAATGGAATAACTACCCGAAACTAAAGACACACCAAAAGCACTTATTGATGCATAAACCAGGTCAGGGGGCAATACTTATACGCTGCAAAAGCCTGTCTGTTAGGTGGCACAAGAGGCTGTGTAAGTAGGAGGCACACATCTCTATGCTGCTACAGTTACGAGCAGTGCAGATGTAAAGTTGCGTAGGTGCAGGGAGAACCAAGAATTCATGTAGCTCTAGTAGAGTCTAGAGAATAAAACTACCCTCTAAAGTGTTTTATTCCCACGAAGATGAAATACTGCCCTTGACAGGGAAGGGGCACGAGAGGCAGGGCTGCTCTATCCTCTCAGCGCTGCAAGGGGCAGGCTCAAGTTCTGGCATGAGGGAATTCAGTTTTGCTTTTACAGAATTGCTTCTGTTATTCTAATTCCACCACATTTTGGAATTCTCAACAGAAAGAAATCAGTGTTTTCTGGGTTGATCAGCAATTTTCATTTCTACTGGGATCGACCTCTGGCCAAACCTGTATCTCATTGTTAAAGTCTTAATGCCACTGCTTTCATTACAGCCATTTTTGGGACCTGTTCTGAGGTGTGCTCAATTTAAAATCACTTAATAATTACAGTTATACATTCACATTTGGAGAGCAATTATGATTCAAAGTATCATTAATAGATTCTTTACATAAAGCCAGGCGATGTGCTCCATGAAAAGAATAAGGACTTGGAGCCAGAGTCAAAGCTCTATTGCTGGCCTTGGGTATGTTTCCCAATATCTTTGTACTTCAGTTTTTCTCATCAATAAATGACAAAAATTATAGTACACAGTAAGCACTTAATAAATATTGATTACACATTCCAGTCCTGGAAACATCTATGCCTTTAGCTCTCTTAGCTCTCATTAAGCTACATGTCATAGAACTAAGGAAAGGAATAGTGTTAACAACTCACAGTCAAACTTACTACGTGTTTACTAGGTACTGGTCTACGTACTTTACTCATATTATTAACCCACTGAATTATTACAACCATCCTATGAGGTAAGTTACTCTTATTATCCCCATTTTAAAAATCAATATTCAAAGGGAGGATGGTTAGCTACTTTGTTCATGTAGTTGTGCCTGGATCCCAGTCCAGCGTGACCTCATTCTAAAAGTCCACCTAACCGTCACACTGCACTGGAGGTTGCTGCCAGAATATACAACAGTTAGTACTTAGTGATCACTACTCTGTACCAAGAACTGGGCCAGTGGCTAAAAGGCACAGTATCACTTCATTTTCACAGTCACTTTGAGTTTGGTCTCATTATAAGTTGAGAAATTTGAGGCCCTGAGAAATTAAGTTCTGCATCTCAAATCACATGGTTAGGAAATAGCATAGTTGGTATTAAAACTCAGGCAATCGTAAACGTGTTGTTCCTATAACTATGTAAAGTAGAGATTGGCAAAAATAGGTTTCCAGTTATGAGCATGCAAGACAGTTTGTCTTGCATTATTAATTATTATATCATTTATTTGTATTATGGCTGTAAAACTAGTTTTGCCCACTCCTGTATTATTTCTTTTACAAATAGAATTGGTAAAATTCTAAGCAATAAAGTTTACAAATAAGATCAAATAACTTGATATAACCACCTTTTAGAGATGTTTTCTCTCCAGATCCTGGTGAAAAGGAATCTCCGAGGCTTTCTTTAAGGGACGATGATGATAAACTTGTTAACCATGGATCCTGCTTAAAATAAAAAAAAAAAAGTATTATGTAAGAACAGTTCTCAAGGTTTGTGGGGGACAATATCATTGTTAAGACTCTTTCCTAACTCTGAAATCGGCATTTTTAGGAGTTTGCTGCTGAAACACCAAAAGCTTGTTGAGCTAATGGAGGCTAATACACTTTCCTTTCAAACCCTAGGTCTTGATCATTAAAAGGGGTCACTGCAGAGCTATTCTAGTTCTTTAACTGACACCTGTCCATTTGTTTTTAGCAATTTATAAAATTTCCACTGCTCTAAAATGGAACCTCATTAGTATTTAAGATAAAGATTTGCTCTCTCTGTAATTCTCCTTTCTAAGACAGTATAAAGAAGGCAGTAGGTAAAAATCCATAGTTTCAAATAAATATTATTAGATGTCCAAATGAAAGCAATTATTAAATCAAGTACATAGCTACTTACAAATATTTGAGATTGAAAAGGTATAGATTTCATGTACTTCAGTTTTCCTCAAAATTCTAAAAATGACAACTAAAATTAAATAATTATATTTGTGTGCCTAAACATCCTTGTACTGAGTAGTATTCCAACCCAAAGGTGATGATATAATAATGTAAGAAGTTTGATCTTGCTGCAAAGAAAATTATATGTCAAAAACAACAGAAACCGTCTGGGAAGATGGCAGAAGGGCTGAAACACTGGAGTTTAACTTGAGAAACAAAGTGTTGCCTGAGGAGATGCAAACAGAAGCTGTTTGGCTGGGGGCATTCTCCCACCTGTGCAGTCCCGCAGAAGAAGGCTGCGCCTTCTGGGACTGGCCTGCAAAGCAGGGGCGGCTCTCTAAGACAAAGTTTAGAACTGGAAGATCAGCCAGTATGTTTGGTTCATACACAGAAGGCATGAATCCCAACATCTGCATACAAAATTCACTACAATTCTTGGCTCATCTCTATACAGCATGGCTCATCTATAACCTAGAAGGTCCTGGAAAATAAGAGCAGCTAGAACTTCAAAGAACTAAGCAGATATTTCAGTTCATATTCATTAATAGCATGATGGATGAGGAAATATATGAAACTATACTATTATAAGGTTTCTACATTAAATGTGAAATGATACAGTGTCAGCTCTAAGTAGATTGTGATAATTTATAGATGCATCTTGTAACCCATAGAGCAACTACTAAAAACATAATGCAAATGGGAATCAAAATGGAAAACTAAAAACATGTGATTAAGTTTAAAAAGGCAGTAAAAGAGTTATAGGGAGCAATAACGGCAGTGTCAATTAAAAAGACATAAAAATAAATAGAAAACAAACAGCAACAAACTGGGCAACAAATTGGCTCTATATGTACTTATATTAAAAGTAAATGGACTAAAAACACCCATAAATGGTCTAATGGACTCATAAATGGACCACCATTAAAAAGTAGATTATCAGGCTTGATAAAAATGTGACATCAAACTATTATTACAAAAGAGTCACTGAAAGGAAAGACACAAATCACTTGAAAGAAAAATGATTAAGAAAAAGACTCACCATGCAAACATTAGTCATATAATAGCTGACATTATCAGACAAAACAAACTGCAAGATTAGGAGAATCACCAGAGGTAAAAACACTTCATAATGCTAATTAGGGTCAAGACATAAGTGTATCATACGTCTAATAACAGTCATAAAATACTGGCAGAACTAATTGGGAGTACAGAGAAATTTGCAAGCATAACTGGGGATTTTTAACATGCTTAGCTTGGTAAATTAGACAAAAATTCAGTGCAGATGGAGAAGACATCAATGATACTACTAGCCACCTTGACAAAATTAAAGAACATCATATCTAACACCTGCAGAACACATTTTTTTTTTTAAAGAACAAATGGAACTTTCATAAGATACATATAGGCTGGACCATAAAAATATCTCAACAATTTTTTAAAATGTGAAATCTTATAGGATATATTTTCTCATCACAGTAAAATTAAATTATAAATTAATACAAAAGATTTGATTGGACCTAGAAAATCCAAATATTTGGAAATAAAATCATTCAGCACAAAATGACCAATTGGTCAGAAATCACAGGGGAAATTAGAAAATATATTTAAAGAAATGATAAAATAAAAGACAAACAAAACAAAAACACACCCATGGGCACTGTTAATGCTATGCATAGAGAGAAATTTATAGCTTTCAGTAGTTTTATTAGAAAGGATAAAAGGCTGGAAACAGTGGACATATTTTGCAACTTAACAGTAAGCAAATAAAACCCAAAAAAAGATAAAGAGTGGAAATCAGTGAAATTGGAAACAAACTATACAGAAAAATAACAAAAACCAAAGTTGGTTTTTGAAAAGTTTAATAAAACAGCAATGCCTTTCAAGATTTAACAAGAAAGACAAATCACAAATTCTATGAGAGAAATAAAATGTCATGATAATCCACAAATGTTTAATGGAAGCTTAGCCAGGCACCATACAGTTCCTCTTCCTTGATCTGCTGAAGCATATTTTAGAATAGGACTGTCCTTCCCACACCTACGCCCTCTTAGATGCGAGGCAGAAGTGGGCTAACGAGAATGAAGTGTAAAGACGGTCGAAGTGTTCTTCCCTAACACAGTAAACTCCCTGATGAAATCCTGAAAGATCACGTTTACTTCCATTTTGGAATATCCCAGAAGTATGGGATGATGCCATCATCATTCAGTAAGTAAAATCAAATGAGTAAAATGACACTGGCTATCACGTCCTCAGCCCGTGTGGATGAAAAAGGCGCCACATACCAAACCTGACAAGCTCAGGGGAGGCCTGCGTGCTGGGCGGTATAAACTCAGAGACCAAAAGTCACCACACAGGATGGCCTGAACGTAAAAAATCCTAACTAAAAGCAGGTCCTGGCAGGTAGACACGTCCTAGGCCTGTGGCCTCCCTGACAAAGGTCAATCTTTATCTTAGGTGAGCTGGCCTGTTGTCCTTTTGCATCTAAGGTAACAGACCTCTGAAATGTCAGAGCAGTGTCCTCTTCCAGATCCTCAGGGCACTCCCCGTCACCAGGGCAAGAGGCCTCAGAACTCCTCAGTGTTATTCCCTTGTTCCCATCTCCACGTGCCGTAAATGTTAATTATTAACTATCCTGTACCCACCAATGTAAAAGAAGAGACTTCTCTGCTTTTCTTTCTCCCTAATCTATCGCCAATGAATTTCATGTAACCCTCCTACGTTGCCTCCTTTGATTCTAATGTATACAATAAGCTTCAAAGCTGCCATTCTCCAGATCATTGTTTCAATTTTTTGAGATTTTGCTTCCCAGCAGCTGTCATAGTTTGGCTCAAATAAACTCATAAAAATTCTCCACAGGTTTGGATGCTTCTTACATGGACATCATGAATCATATAATTCAAAGGTATGTAAATAAAAATATAAATTCTTACAATTAAAGATATACAATATTGCATAGAATCAAAAGGGTAACTTTTTTTTCACATTTTACTTTCTCTGAAATTAAGTAAGTGCATATTATAATTACTGATGGCTTAATTGGCAGAGTTCTCTCTTGGCCATACAAAATATAATGCCATATCTTTGCTGTATGTCACAACTGATGGAGTTTCAGACTCAATGGAATATAGTATATTTAAGGAAAAAAATTATTTCCTTTTCAACTGCTGAAGAAAACAGTAACATGTATGTGCATGCACAAAAATATTCTCTTTCTCTCATGATTAGAAGCAAAGAACAGAATTCAAGAACATGGTTCGGTAGTTGAGCAGCAATACTAACCTCAGGATCAAGGTTTCCGGAGATTGTTTTTTTCTCAGCTTCTAGTTGTCTGTCATTTGACCCCGGGAGGGACAAAGGTGCAGAATGTGCCTCTAATTCTTCAGGGAGGGCAGTTTCTTTCTCTTCTCCTTGTCCATCTTTTTCCTCCCTGAGGCTCTGCTTTTTCAACATGCTCCTTGGCCGAGGTAAAGGTGTGATGCGTTCTTCTGCTTCATGGCTGTTGCTGTTTTCTGTGGGAAAAAAAAAAAAAAAGAAAAGTTTTAAGGTGGGTGAACAAAAAACTGACCATGGCTTCAACCGCACCCCAAGGTGCCACCACACTTCCCTCCTGTGCGCATGCACTTTGACTCTCTGTCCTGGAGAGCCCAGAGGAAGCTCTCAGCCCTTCTCTACACAGAGCTCCAGTAAGCATGGATAAACAACTGTTTGTCATCAAAATTTTAAAAAATAGTTGCCATCCTGGAAGTAACTAGTTTAGTTTTGTGAGAAGTTAACTTCTCAACTTCATGAATTCTTATAGCATTCAAAAAATTGTAAAGAAAACGAAACCGTGCCGAATAAAATGTGGGGGCCCATCTAGCAAACCTTTGTTGAGTCTCTGCTGCCGGGCCCTGTACACACTACTCACATTCCTGGACCTCATAATCGAGGCTGTGACAATGGTCCTGTCCAAGGACTTTACAGGTTGGGAAGGGAGATGATTCTAAAGAAATAAATTACAAGACAAAGGTGAGTGCCATTACAAGCGTGGAGATGATGTCATTACAGGGAGAGAGGGCTGCCTCTCACTGGAGGAGGGAATGAAGAACTAGATGACTGAGTTGTTCTTTGATTTCATGAAACTTCTCTAGCAGTTATTAAAGTAGCTCAGTTATTGTTTCAATTACTTTTAAGTTTAAAACAATTTAATGCTGCCCTCAGCATGGTTCCAGCCCTCAGAACATGGTAAGAAAGTTTTTACATAAAATGTTGCCTAAATTTTACCTGGTACACTTTCTCCATTGTTCTACCAATGCATTCTTCCAACAAAATTTGAAAACTGGTCTAATTAACACCTCCCTCCTTTCTGCCTACAAATGGGCTTATGAATGGTGCTAGAAAATTCCACAACCATACCAGATGGTACCAATGTAAATGTTAACACTACCTATTTTAGCTATGTCCTAAATGTTCAATCCGAATTCCAAGAGTCATCCTAGATTCCTCCCTCGCTTCCCTCATATCCAAGCATCACTATACCCTATTGATTTGACTTCCTAAATCTCTCATTTACCTCACTTTCCACATCCCTGCTGTTAGCTCCTCATCCATTCTTTACTAGATTACTGCTTTAGTGATATTCCTGAAATGAATATCAGATCACATCACTCCTCTCCACAAAATTCACTGGCTCTCCATCATCCAGTCCTACACAATACAAGCTTACTTGCCTTTGAACAACACAGAAGCTTTCATGGTCTTATCCCTGGCTACCCACGCTGTCTTGTCTACTGGACACCCATTTTGCAATCTGTGTGCCTCACATGCTGAGCTGGGCTATTTTGAATCTACGTCACAACCCTTCCTACTCCCATACATTTACTCAAGCTGATCCCTCTGATAGAGTGTCTGCTTCCTGCTTCTCCTGACAAATGCTTGCATGTCTTTTGAGGCTGAGTTTAAGCAGAATATTACATAATGCCTGAAAGAAGGTGTTGAGTCCATTTTTATTTTTATTATTGAGTAAGAATACTTAACATGAGATCTACCCTCTTCATAAATGTTTAGGTGCACAGTGGTGGTGTTAACTGAAGGCACAGTGTTGTACAGCAGGTCTCTAGAACTCATTCATCTTGTAGAACTGAAACTTAGTACCTGTGGAATAGCAACTCCCCCTTTCCCGTCTGCCAGCCCCAGGCAGTCACCATTCTACTCTGTGTTTCTGTAAGCTGGGCTACTTTAGACATCTCACAGTCAAATCGTGGCCCTGACTCATTAGCATTGCCACTTACCAAAGTCACCTAATCTCCACTACCTTGGCAGCCCATTGCTAACGATAGTTAAGAATTAATTCCTAAGGTGCTGGTGGGAGTTGAATGAGATAATAAATATGAAGTGCATAGCACAGTGCCTGATACCTGGTAATATTCAATGACCATTAACAATTGTGATAAACATTCCCTCTTTCTCTTTGGGTTTTTCTATCACTTCTGCTTTCTTTGGAGTAGTCTCTCCTTCTCTGCAGCCGTGTGGCTCTGGTGGATTAACAATGATCTCCTCCATACCCCAGTGAGAAGGGCGGGGACACAATGCACACCACCTCCACCCGCACAGCTTACAGAGGCTTCATCTCCCCTGTCCACAGCAACCACTAGGCAGGGGAGTGTTTTCTATTTGGAGGTGGAGGGCATGCCTGCCTTTAAGGTCATGGAGCTTAAAAGATGTGATAGGGAGACTCTTAGTGGGTTTTCCCCCTGACCAGTGAAGGGCCGTCTGAGACCAAGAGACCAAATGACAGGGAAAAAAGCAGGACTGAGGGAGAGATGGAGTAACTGGGGCACTGACAGGGGCAGAAGGAGAGAACGAGAGAGGGTCAGGGAGTCAGGGAGGGAGGGCGGAAGTAGAGAGAATCCAGATGACACAAAAGTACTGAGTCTTTAACCTTAGTCACACCTAAAGCAAGCTCTCCTGGCTTCCATGCTCAGTAAGGTGATAAATGCTCCTTGAGTTGGGTCATTTGCAAGCAAGAGACCTGATTATGAGTATATTATTTGGCACTGTTACTGCTATTGTCACCATCTCCTCTAGGAAGCTTTCCTGATGCCCTCAGGTAAACTTGGGTAGCACTGTCCTGTGTTCTCACTGTACCTTTTGTCCAGTGCCCCAGTAAACTGTAGTCTTTGTTACGGTCTGAATGTTTGTATACCTCCAGATTCTTACAGTGAAATCCTGACCCCACAGGTGATGGTACTAGGAGGCGGGGCCTTGGAGATGTGATTAGGTTATGAGGACAGAGTCTTCATGAATGGGATTAGTGCCCTTAAAGGAGGCTCCACAGAGTGGCTTTGCCCCTTAGCCATGGAAAGATACAATGACACATCTGCAGCTTGGAAGAGCCCCTATCTGATGATACTAGCACTGTGATCTCAGCCGTGGTCTCCAGAACTATAGGAAATAGGTTTCTGCCGTTTATAAGCCATCTAGTTTGTGGTATTTTGTTATAGCAGTCCAAATGGACTAAGACAGTCTTACATGATTGGTACTATTTTTTTTTAATTAAACTTATTAGGGTGACATTGGTTGATAAAATTATATAGGTGTCAAATGTACAATTTTATGTCATCTGTATAATGCATTGTGTGTTTACTACCTAAAGTCAAACCTCCTTCCATCACCATGTAATGTATTCTTAGTCTCCATCACAGTGCTTATGACATAGTGTATGCACCATAATTATGTGTGAATGAATAAAATGATCTACTTATGAGCAAATGTTAAATAATAAAATGAATCATAAAAACATTTATAGAGTGTTTAATTTATGCCGAGATTGTTTTAAGCACTTCAAATATATGAATTCATTTAATTGCCTCAAACCCCTAATGGTGGTTCAACTATTATCCCCATTTTATAGATAAATAAAATGAGCAACAAAGACGTCCTGTGCCCATGGTTATAAACTCCATATTGTGCGATTCAAGCAGGAGCACCTGACTCTAAAGTTCATGACTTTAGTCATGCTAATGTTAAAACAAAAACAACACACCCTACAAAAATTATTTTTTACAATCACTACCCATGTGACAGTTGCTCACCAGAACAAGCAAGAACAAAGAAAACTTTCAGGTTCTAACATTTCAATAAAGCATTATTGCTACTCAGCAATCTCACCACATGAAAAATATCCAATTCCAAACTGTATGAGAAAAAGTCTAAAAATTAAGAAAAGGATAAACCTAAGCTCATGAACCACACTCCTTCTTTCATAAGTGAATCATTCATCTTTTTCATTTACATATTCAAACACAATAAATGCCAGACACTATCTTAGAAACATTAGCCTCAATTTTTTGCTTTAGTATGAAGAACGTGGGAATAATGACTTTAATATATTTTACACCAAAATACTGCTTCCAGGATTGTCAAATTTTCAGAAAAAGATATGTCTATACATTTTCAAAATACAGTGTTTTATAATCAAATGTGAAATATTACCTATGTTGGTAATTATTTTTATATTACATATCCTGAATAGCAAATGGCTAATGATTATTTAAAAATATACTGCACATTGTGTCCAGCACTTAGAATCCAGGTTCCATCTTGTGGTTAAAATACAATATTTATATATTCATTTTAACTTATCAAAGGGTAAAAAAAGAAAAAGTATTAAATAGGTATTAAAAAGGATTATTGCTGATTATCTGTCATACAGTTACATACTTCTACCTGTATAAGACCAATTTTTACGTCCTCTATGTTCACATTTCTTATTAGTCTAATAAGAAGCTTTTAAGAGTTATGACAAGTAGGATAAATATAATGCACAAAAATAGATTTCTAAACTCAAATAAGACTAGAAAACACTGCCTATTCTATCCTTCTTGAAGAGTCACTGTGTATCTTTATTAACAGCTCCCAGAAGTTCCCTCATAAAGAAATCAGTTTTCATTTTCTAGAACTCTTTGTTTTCCCCGTAATGCCAATGAACAACCAACAGAATGGACTTTGGGAAATGGTGAACTACTGGATTATTTACCAACTTCAATTATGTTCCCTTCTCTCCATTTTTTTTTTTTATTGTATTCAGTACACTGGGAAGGTATCTTGTAGCAAGTGAACTCTGTTTCATATGCCTTGTGCTCACAGTTTTGTAGCATTTTATAGTTTATGACACATACATTAATTAATTCTCAAAACAATTTTATGGGATGGGAGGAGCAAGTTTCATCCTTCTCATGTAAGCACTGGGCTAAGTTCACAAATATCTAATATACAGGTTTGGTTTTGTTTTTGTTTTTTCCATGTTCTGGATGCTGCCTTAATATCCTTACCTCTGCTAATAGCCTCTCCTCATTTGGAAGTTAATGGGATTGTGGGAAAAAATAAGGAGTGGCTTTCTAACACACAGGCAAAATAAAGTTTAGTCCGATGCTACCAGTGAGATCGACTGTATAAAGTATGTAATATTTACCAGTATTTAATGTTGATATAAAGGAAAGAGGTTTTTATGGACGGTAACATTGAGTACTACTTTTCCTGTAAAACAAAAGGAAGAAGACCACAGACACAAAGCCCTTCCCTTTCCACCCCTGCGTTTCTGGCTGTGGCCCAGGGCACTCGCTTGCTTGGATCCCTCCTCACTCCACCTTTGCCCCGGTGTGCTAGAGCTCGGGAGAACTGTGGAGAAACTGCAGTAATCCCAGATCACACCAGAAATTTACTCAGAAAAGAGTGTTAGTGGATTTTTCCTAGGGAATAGAGAAACTGAATGGAGATTCTTCATTCTAAAGGGAAGTCTAGAGGCTTCAACAACAACGGAATAAACAAAACTCCCTTCAAATACATAAATGTCAAACAAAATTCTGGCAAATGGTAGCACGGAAATGATGTTTTAAGGACTGGTCCCAGGACTGTTATAACTTTAATCTCTGTAGTATAAAATGGGTTAGCAGGATCCCATTGCAGTTCCATCCCTGAAAACAGAATCGAAGCTCATAGACTGAGGCAAGGCTGGACCTAGGAACTTGAGGAGGCACAGCTGCAGGCAAATGAAGGTACTCAGGCCTTCTGCCAGCCACCGGTAGAGCTGCTACCCTAAACATGCCACTGGACATCAGAATCATGGGTTTTCTCTTTGGGCTATTATTTCATGTTTGTAAAACTGAAAAGTCTGATTTTTTTTTTCCTTAAATACTAACTAGCAACCATGTGAAGGTATTTTGTGCCTGGTTATTGTAAAATAAATTCTTAAGAAATGCAGTTATAGGGATCTAATAATTTACCTGAAGATGTGTTTCTGATTGAAAGAATTCTGGGTTTAGGTTTCATTTTGATTTTCTCTTCTTCAATGTGCTGATCTTCATTTTGAGATTCAGACGCGGGATTTACAGCCCTCTGCCCACAACCATCAGCTGCCGTTTCCTCATCATTTCTGATGGAGAATGAGGGCCCATCTTTCATCGCATCACTGTTTGGTTTCTTGGTTTTCAAAAAAGACAGTTTCAGAGAATTCTTTTGTTCATCATCTGACATGTGGAAATCATTTATTGTTTTCTTAACTGAATTTTCATCTATGGAGATGTCAGAAAAATCACCTAAGGAAACTGAAAATGGAAGGAAAAAATGTCTTCATTGGTGCATCTTAAAGTTTGGATGGTTACACTAATCAAAAGATTATCTTTAAGACTAGAAGTGAAAAATTTAGGTGGCTTTTATTGGCATTTATGAAATAGAAATTTCATTAATCTATTCAGAACATACTTTTCAAGTGTGAATAGTGTACCAAGCACTGTGCTTGCCCTGAGAAGTCATCCAAAGTTTCCTCAAAATAACAATTGGCCATGCAGTATTTAAATTTTGGATTGCAAAACTTTTATATATAAACAACCACATTCGATCTTACTATGAGAAGAATAATACCGAATGTTAACCATACAGCAATGATTAAATGATTGTCCTGATTATTTTTAAGAGACATTAAGAATTATTCACTGAATCTTAAGATATAAAACACTGAATTTCAAGTTTAGAATTCTGTTTGTTTACACCTAAATGTTAATGTTTGCATGTAATCAAAAGAAACCAGATTAAATCATACCAGTACTAATACAGAGTTTTAAAAACTGAGTCCCTGTTAGAACCTCCAAAACACAATTTATAAAAAGCATTATAAAAGCGGTTCTGATGTGCACCGAAGTTTAGTTCTATGGGCCCTAGTTATTAACTCACTTAGGGTCTCTTAGGGGTCATCTTAAGGATGAATTTGGTTCACCACTGACAGACATCCTTTACTACAAACCTACTGCCAGCCAATTTATATTTGCATATTCACATTCATAAACAACCAAGGACAATCATACAACTTCTTGAAAATTAGGAGTGACTTTTACATGATAAAAAGTTGGGAATCTAAAACTATTTCATTCATAGATATTATTTTAGCATAAGTGATTTTTTTTTTGGAGGTATGGCCTAAATATAACTAAGAAAACAAAAAGAACAACAGTGGTTTAGTTTCCATATTCTCACATACCAATCTCATCGCTGTCAAACTCATCTGAATATTCAGAACTCCTTTGTCTGGCTGAGCGAGCTGTAATTGCTTTTATTAGTTCATCCTGAAATAAAATAGTTAAAATCAATTTACACACAAAAATGGAGTTCTCATATTTCGAATTATTTAAGCAAATAGTGCTGGGTTAATAATTGCTTTCAAACTCAGGTTTTATTCATCTAATGATATTCACTGAAAGCCAACCTTACGCCAAGCACCCAAATCCTCAGACTCAATTGAAAACATAACAAATAAGATTCCTGTCCTCGTGGAGCTTACAGTTATATTGGAGGAGACAGACAATACCAAATAAGATAACTGTGGAGACCCAGGCAGGATTTATTATAAACTGGCATTTCGGAAGAAACTGATACTATTAAACACCTTTTGTTTCTGGAGATTGCAGTAAAGGATGTAATTATTAATACTGCAAACTTAGAGGCAGAGTTCAAAACTGTAGTGACTGGACAGAGAAAATATAAGTGCTGTTATGTTACAACAGGGAAAAACCATAAAACGTTTATATGAAAATTCCAACTTAAAGTTGCTATTCATCTTTTAAAAGCTGGTTTAACTTTTAAATTAGTAAGAACTGCTCATTAAGGCCAGTCTGGCAGTCTTACACACATGGAAGAGTTTGTAATACGAGAGCCCAAACACAATCATCAGGAAAACTTTAAAAGGAAGGTAAACCTTACTCTAGCTTTATATAGAACCCTTCCTAAAATCAATTCAAATCCCATGTTCCTAATCCAGTGTTCACCTGAAAAGTCACTTGAAATACTTTACCTGAAAAGTAGTTCTTTTGGTGACTTTTGGACTCTTTGTATATGCCAAAGTTGTGCTGAAAACTTCACCAGACATAGTGTTTGGGATTTTTTTTTCTTTACTGGTTACCTTTATAAAATGGCGAATAAATGACAGGAATAACTAAAACTCTGATGGTGGCTGAAATATAAAAAAACAAATTAGACTTCTTTGCATGCTTGAGAATTTCTAATACTACACTTTATGTCGCCCATCCCCCCACCCACAGAGCCAAACAAAATAAGCACGATGTGAACATTGAGCTACAGGAGCTGCATCTACACTTAAAAATATAAAGTTTTTGTAAGAATATATAAAATTCTCATAACAAGCTTGTTTTACAAAAATATTCAAATTGAAATTACCTTAAAAGAGTTTTGCAACAGTACTTTAAGGATGAGGAAAAAAAAAAAAGACTGCAATAGGCTAAAATGTTGCCAATTAAACTACAAACTATTTCTAACTTCTCTTGCATTAAAAAATGATGACATTGCTAACAAAAACGGTCATACTTACGTAAAAGGCTACCAAGAGGATTATGAGTATAACTAAGAGTGCTATCATCACCAAAAAAAAAAAAAAAAAAGCTTGCGTACAGATCATAATACTAAACTGCCAATAGCGATTTTTTCCAAGCCACTTTTCCCTCTGTAAAGTGTTATAAAGATAAACCCCCCGCGAAGGGATGCATTGATGTCACTATACAATTGGGCCCGTGAGCGTTTCGCAAAGTGGAGGCCCGGGCCTGGGCACTCAGCCGCCCGCCGCAGCGCGAGCCCGGGGACAGCTCCGGGCCCGGCCAGGTGGCGCCCAGGTCCCGACCCGCTCCACACCGCGCCGCCCGCCGAGCTCTGGGTACTCTCCACGCCCCACGCTCGAGAGCCGTGTCCGCCCCGTCCCTCCGCAATTCCCCCATCCGCACGACGTCCCCGTTCTTTACCCACCCCTGCCACTCATGCGGAGGGCACCCCGCGACCTGAAGACAGACGGTTGGTCAGGCAGGACCTCTTCTCTAGGCCTGGGCTTGGAGACTCTTGGAGACAGGGTACTGGACTGAGCAAGGGGGCGGGACTAAAAAAGGAGGTGGTTGGCGGTTGCTAGGAAACGGCGTCTCCGGGAGGAAGTGACTTTCTTACCGTCAGGTCTCTCGGGTACCCAACACCAACTTACGGCTAACACGTCGCTGGGGCAACGGTCCAGAGAAGGGAAATGACGTCAGATCTCTGGGTCTTGGGAGGAGGGGTGCACCTGGGCCGCCTGTGCTTCAACTGTTGCCTAGGAGACAGGACTGGTCCAGCTCCCCCTCACACAAGAGCCTTGAGCTTGCCAGTGGGAGCGAAGGACTTCATCCGCACAGGATATATGAACCAAAGCACATTCATGGTTTGGACATGAGCTCTGTGACTCGGACTGGCAGAATAGTGTATGGACAAATAGGACAGAACAGCATAATGTGAGAGCGACGTTTGCAGACTCAAGAGCCTAACTGCACGTTTGAATCTTGGCGCCCCTTCTATCCCTGTGATGTCGTGAAAGTTAACGTTTCTATGCCCCAGTTTCCTCTTCTGAAAAGAAGGAGATAATAATAATGGCCACCTTAACGCGTTGCGGGATGTACTAAACGAACTAATGCAGCTGGAATATACTTGCAAGAGTGCCTGGGATTAAATTCAGTCAATATCAGATATGTTTTTTATGCTACTCAGCCACAAAGAACCTGGACAGAAAGTATGCCTTGTTGACATGGCTGAAAATCCATTTTCAAGTGTTCCTTAAATATAAAGCTCCCCTTTTTTAATATGCAAGGTATAGGCTGGTTAGAATCAAATCAGTTAACAAAAAGATTTGATAGGCTGGAGGACTGTGTGCTGCTAAGTAACTAAAATCACCATCAATTAATTAGCATAAGTAATCCTTACACGAAAGACAAAAACAATTCTTTAAATAATATTTTAAAATTACATGAATTTCTACTATCATAATTTTAAAAAGCTTAATATTAAATTGTCTAAATAAATTCACTATTAATTGAAAAGTTCCAGTATTTTCCATCTGTAACATTTATTGATTTTAACACTCAACAATTATTTATAAACAAATCCAACTGAGATAAAGATTTAACAAATCAAAGTATTGAAAAACTAAATGTGTATAACAAGAAATGTGAAATTTAATAAAAATTCTGTTTTTAAACAATATATGCAATGCAACTTTTTGAAAAGTGTGTTCAGTTTATGCTAACTTGTTTGAAAAACTCAGTTTGATCAACCTTTGCTTAATTTTGATGCTTTTAAACATTTGAGTCTCTGCATATAAGAGTTTCCATTCACCAGTTACTGTTAGCTTTCTGAGCCATGCAAGTTATTAATCAATAAATATGATCCCATCATAGCACCTGTGCTCCCAGTAAAAAAGCAGTATTTGCATTTTTCTTAACATGAAGTATTAATTTGCTCATTTTGAAATAATTAGATTCATTCAAAAACCTCTGCTCTGTTCAATTTTAAATCCATATGCTTAATCTGATTTTCATTTAGATAATATTTAAGAGAATAATTTTTTTAAATAAAAAGAGCCTTTAAGGAAAGATTCTATCTTTTCTACGGAAGCTACTAGATTTTTATTTTCCACTTCAAAATAATTAATAAATATCAAGCTATGTCATACAAGGCTACAGTAAACAAAGATGGTTAAACTGGTTAATTTTGCCACAAGACTTAAAGCACAATGTCTTTCCATTATTCTCTTATTGTAAGCAACAAAAATTATCTGTTAATAACAGTATATAATATCTGAATTTACAGTATTTTATTTAATGCATAATTTGCAATAAATATACAATTCTTGATGAACTCATGAAAAAATAAATAGCATTTTAAACTGAAAAATAATTATAAAACATTGTAAAAGAAGCTCAGAGATATTCACTTTTAAAAAACTCTAAACACAACACCACAAAATTTCAGTAGCCTATGTAACATTTTCTCTATCTCATTTTTCATTTTTCTAATATATATTAAATCTCAAAAGTATTTTCCTAGCAAACTTTTGTTTTTAGTTTAATACCGTTTTCATTTCTGAACCTTCTCCTCATTCATTCACTCATCATTCAGTAAGTATACCCATATCGATTTTATGGATCATATCTCAGGAGTTCAAAGTTTCAACCAGACCAGGTCCCTGCCTATGGTTCTTAGAGAGTAGAGCTACCTGGAGGGCTGAGGAAACACATAGTGACTATACTTTTTGACAATTTCTCTGTAGGAGTAAAAAGAGAAGCTCTCAAGAGAGAGCACAGAAGTCTTCCTAGAGGCTTTAAAAAGTTTTCACAAAGTGAGTTTGAGTTGATTAATGAGTACAGGACATAAGGAAGGATCTGAAGTGTATTTTAAGCAGAGGAAATGGTCTATGAATATGGAACCCACTCCAATGTGGGTGTAAGTGGCTCAGCAGAGAGATACTGATGGTGCTCAGACTGTGCTACCTGTTAGGCAAGGAGGGGAGTGAAAAAGATTTATTTCCAGAAAAAGAAGCAACTGAGACAGTGACTCTTCTTTGTGAGTCCCCTGCTCACACCTCAGGAGGCAAATAGTGTATGCCTGGGAACTGGTTACACAAGTTATTGACAAAGGATCCTTACTCACTGCCCTGGTTAAAACAACAAAACACCTGCCTAGCATTTTGAGAAGTGTACTACACAGACAAATCCGCATGGGTGCCCATTAATAACCACTCTACTTATTTTAAACATTGACTGCTCAGGTCAGGAGAGAATGCAAGTGCAGGTACTAATCACAGTGTTGACTTGTGGGATCACTACAGTGGGAGACTTACAGAAGGGAAATATCTGTATCCTGAGGAAAGACTATATGACCAATTCTTTATCAGCATCTTATAAGTAAGGGAAACTGGCTATAGTCAGTCAAATACACCAGTAAGTATTCATATAGAATACATGAATTTTTATATAATAAGAGATAAATGCTTTTTCATTCAAACTCAGAACTTGTCACTCTGAACAAATTATTTTTGTTATCAGGGTAATGGCCTTAATTAAATGTTCCTTGAATATATTGTTCTAGACAAAGATAAATGTTCTGGGTAGATACTACCTCTACTTCCTGTATATTGCTAAGTGTCCTGTGCCTAGTAGAATTCCATGTACTTTACTCATATCATTTAATTCAGTTTTTCCAAAGCTCTGTGAAATTGCTGTTTTGTATACCTACCTTTTACAGGTGAAAGGAAGAGGTAAGGTAACATTTTGAGATGCAGGTAGTTTTGAAAATATATTATTTTGGCCTGTGATACGTCCCATACAAGACTGGTTTGTTTAATATAGACTTTTTTATGCTATTGTAGTTTTAAGAAATCTTCACTTTAATAATGTCTCATATGTATGAAACCACACCCTTCATACCTGAGGAGTTAATCTAGTATTCTCTTTCTTTGCTGCTCTAGTAGCAGAACATGTTTTTACATGTCATTTCTCCCATGTGTGCCTCCCCCTTTCATTCACCTGTTTGAAATTGCTCAGTGCCTTCTTGCTTTGTGCACCTTCCCTTTAAGACAAATCTAGTTTCAGGATAGAAAAGAAAGATTACTAATTTACACATTTTTACACAAAAGCTTTATGAGTTTTTGTGGAATTAAGAGCTTAAATTGAAGAAAGGCATCACTTAGTGGGAAATTTCCTTGTGAAAGATAATTTCTTTCAGGATTTTCAAGAAGGGCCAGAGCCCAATGGTAGTGATGTGAATAAAACAAAATTTTCAACAGTGTGCACAAAAGCTAATTTTGGTTTTGCATTCTATTCTTTTTAGAATGCCATTATTCTTTTTCCTTCCGCTCCCTCCTCCCCCCTCCCTCCCTCCCTTCCTTCCTTCCTTCCCTCTTTCCTTCCTTCCTATCCTTTGAGAAGTCTTCCAGGAGAGGAGACATCACCTGGCATGCATTAGTAACAATATTCCAGCAGATGGCAGCAAAGGACTTAGTACCTGGAACTGTAGAGCAGGACATACCATTAGTATTTTTGGGATATTTTACTTCGCTTAGAGTGATTAAAAAATACATTATGAAATAAACTACTTTTAAAATAATTTCATAAAGCTTTTTGAATTATCATATTTTTATACTAGAAAGTTTGAAGTGCAGTAATGTGACAATTAATGTTTTTATATTTTTAAAAGACTGTGTAAACTGCTTACCTGACATTCCTTACTCCCAAACTCAGCCATAATCATTGTTAATAGGATACCTTTCCATACTATGTTTCCTATGCACATAAAAATGCTCACATTTCATGTATTCTTCTATCACCTGTTTTTTTTTCACTTGGATATTCTTTCACATTAATCATCAGCTGGATTGTGCAGAACTCTATGGTTAAACAATTATGTATTTTAAAAATCATTATTCAGATCCCTTTTTTTGTTTCCAATTTTGATGAGAAGGCTTGAATAAATGTTGTGGCATTTTGGATAAATCCTAGGGGTGGAATCATTGAGTACATGCACTGTAACCATCATTATAGTTATTGTCAAAACGTCTTCCAGAAAAGTTTTTACAATATAACATTCCAATGCACATCATAAGAAAACTTTTCACCTGAATTTATTCATTATTTATCCCCACTTACTGCACCCTTATAAGATGCAATTTTGTTTCCTAAATTTTTCTTTTTCTTTTAATTTGTGCAAGCCTATTTATTGTCTCCTTTAAATATAATTTAATATATTGGTACAAATAAAAAACAAAATGTAAGTAAAAACAGAAACATAAAATATTTTCTTAGTTTTTAACAGGAAACAATGGTTAAAGGAAGGAGGAATTTAAATATAACTGAAAAATGTTCTATGGGTAAAAATAAAACTTCAAATTTCCCTAATTATGTAACTATTATTTCTAGCATTAGGAAGAAACTATGTAATATAGTCCTCTTAAGGAAATCCATTAGGTTACAAGAACTAAAAATAACATAAATTAAAGTTCATGTTTAAAGCACGCTATGATTAATGCCAAGGCATTAC